TCAACCAAGTTTGAGAACCAAGGATCCAGTACATGGAAGTTTCTTATGGTTCTGTCTTTTTTTTTTTTTTTTAACCGAAACATAATTGATTGTACGTATCTGTGGGGTACAGCATTGAACATCAGTACCTGTGTGCAGTATGTGATGCTCAAATCAAGATAGTTCGTATATTTACCATTACACAATGTAATCATTTTTTGTAGCCTTTTACCAATTTCTTGCTAACTCTCCCTCAGTTTTGTGTCTTTTCACAAAACTGAAAAGGAACCTAATGACCTCCTCCTGAAAAGGGCTTCTCTACCCTCTTGAATTTTTTTTTAATCTTGAGTATTTCTATACTTCCCTCAAATGTCATCTCCTCCAGGAAGCTGCCTCTGATACTCCTCTTCAGTGCAAATTGTCTTTATCTCTTATTTATCTCCTCACTCATCTATGAACAACTTGGAAGACAGAGATTGTCCTTTATCTTTAAATCCACAGTGCCCAGCATAATACCTGGCACATAATGAGTGCTCAGTAAAGTTTGTTGAATGAAAGGAGCATCTTGCTGGACTAGCAGGATCTCACTTACTCTAGGGAGTTGTTATTCTTGCTATAGTTTCTCTCTCCCTTTCCTATTGTCCCCAGTCAGGATTCAGTCATTCTCTGACCTTTTATAAAATGGGGTTATCCTTTAAATTGTTTTCCCTTCCTCCCTCACCCTGCCAATCTCCAACCTTCCTATTCAAGTAACCTCAGCTTAGGTTCTATCTCTTCTGAAACATTCCTTAATCACCTCAGCCAGAAATAATCCTTTAAACACTTATTGTAATAATAAACTCATTTGTTAAGTGTCATACAGTTGTTTCTACACAAGGTAAGGGTACTTCAAAAAGTTTGTGGAAAAATGGAATTAAAAGATAATATGTCCTCATATAGGCCAGCCACCAAAAAAAAAAAAAAGATAATATAAATTTTTCCATGAACTTTTTGAAGACCCCTTGTATGTGTTGAAGACGTACAGTTCATTTCTTATAGTAACCTTGTCCTAATCCCATCCCCTATCATTATGCTCTGGGACTTCACATTTACATAATTACATCAACGTCAATGAACTTTATAGCCATGCCATATCTGCTATCAATTATAATTACTGTAGGGTAAAGCTCATTATAAACTATAATTTTTCTACTTCCCAAGTTACAAACTGAAATTTCCCTCTCACTACAACCTCCTACTCTTCTGCCTCTCCCTGTCATTATCACCAAATCTGAGCCTCATCTGACTCGTGACCTCCAGTTCTTCAACCCCTTCCTGTTCTCCTAGCTCATTAGTCTCATTCTGTCTTTCCTAAAGAGCCCAGATACCGTGGATAGCTATTTCAACACACTGGCAAACCAATCTAGACTTTCTTGTTGTCCTCCCTCTACTGTGCCTTCTTTACCAGTCCTTTGACCTCGTCAATTTGGGCTCTGTTTTCTCCACTCCAAGGCAGCCAGGAGTTACTGACCAAAGTCACAAAGCCATGTTGACTGGAACTTTTATAAATTCATACTATCTAATCTCAGCTAGTTCTTTCTTGCTATTTGGAATAATGACCCCAATTTTCCCTAGATCCTCTATCCCACCCCCATCCTTTTTGTTCTCAGAAGATTGACCCTACACAGAAAAACAAGGCCAGTGTGACTTCCCTGAATATTTAGCCACTTCAAAATCTCTCTGTACATTTTCCCTCCCACTCTTCCTTCACAGTTGCCAAATCAACCCATCTGCCTCTCTCCCTCTTGACCTAATGACCTCCTCCAAAACTTAATTCTTTCAGTACTTCCTCTTTAAAGTAGATAATTATATTTTTAGTTTTTCTGTCAATCAGCTCATTCTCCTTTTCTGAAAACATGCCTACCCCCCAAAAGAAAATCTGCTGCTGCTTCCCCTCTAATTCATTGCCCTAATTCCTTTCTTTGCTTTATTTATTGTTTGTTTAAAGAAAATGTAATTTTATTGATATTTTTTTACATTCTAGGATGTTGTTGGGGAGCAGTTGGGAGGGATGGGGAGAGGGGAAAGGGGAAGGAAATGGGATGGAAGAAGGAGGAAGGTGGAGGGGTGGGATTAAGGCATCTGGCACCCCCCTCATTCCCACAGGGGAGACAAGGGGGGGGTTCTATTGGTGGCTTAGTCATTGCTGGGCTGGGTGCAGATGTCAGGGGGGTTTGTCAAAAGTCCCCCACAACCTCAGCTCAGGAACCCGGGGCCCTTGCTGCGGCTTAGTGGTTGTGGCTGGGCTGGTTGCACGTGTTGTGGGGGGGCTCGGTGGTCACAGCTGGGCTGGCTGAGGGCGGGGGCCTGGTCAAGGCCCTCTCTTTGCTTTACTGTTAACTATCTCGCTACCACCTCTTCACTCTTTAACCTATTGTGATTGACCTTTGCCCCTTCATCCTTTTTTTATTTTTGGCGGCTGGCCAGTACGGGGCCCTCCATCCTTAACTTCCGTTTCACATTTAATTATTGACAACCTCCACTCTCTCTTCATTTGCTATCCATGGCTCTGCTCTCTTCTAGTTCTCTTCCTACCACTCTGATCTTGTGATTGACCTTTGCCCCTTCATCCTTTTTTTTTTTTGGCGGCTGGCCAGTACGGGGCCCTCCATCCTTAACTTCCGTTTCACATTTAATTATTGACAACCTCCGCTCTCTCTTCATTTGCTATCCATGGCTCTGCTCTCTTCTAGTTCTCTTCCTACCACTCTGATCTTAACTTCCGTTTCACATTTAATTATTGACAACCTCCACTCTCTCTTCATTTGCTATCCATGGCTCTGCTCTCTTCTAGTTCTCTTCCTACCACTCTGATCATTTATCTCTGTGTCTCTCACCACTTTTTCCCAGGTGTCTGTCTTGGGACCTCTTTTTTTCTACTTTCTCCTGTGTGATCCCATCTACTTCCACAACTTTATTTATGTGAAAAAGTTCAAAATTTTCTTTAGCCTGCACTTTTCTCCCAAACTCCACATCTACATTCCCTAGAATCCTAAAATTTCAGACATGGAGATCTCAGAGATCATTTTCCCTAAGTCTTCATTGCCTAGATATCTTACTGGCTCTCAATATGTCAGTATTTTCAAAACTGAACACCTCACGCTGGCCAGTTAGCTGAGTTGGTTAGAGTGTGGTGTCGTAACCCCAGGGTCAAGGGTTTGGATGCCCATACCGGCCAGCCTTCAAAATAACAAAAAACTGAATGCTTCATTTTCTCTCTGCTTCTAGTTCCATTACCAAATTGACTCCTTTTCTTGTATTTATTACTGCTACAAATAGACACCTTGAGGTACATAGCTTTCTCACTCCCCATATTCAATCAGCTGCTAATCTAGTAGATTCCATTGCCATAGATTCTCCTGATTAGGTTCATTGTTTTCTATTCTTAACTACCACATTTCTAGGTTAAACCCTAATTATCTCCCACCTACAGTTTGCAGTGGGCTCCTGGCTAGAGTGCCCACCTCTAGTATATTTCTGTTTGGAATTCTGAATATTTTTACTCATTACCACCAAATTAATCTTCCTAAAGAGCAATTCTGATCTGCCACTCTCCAGCCCAAAAACCTTAAATGTCTTTCACTGAACCATTACTCAGTTCTTTACCCTGGCATTAAAAGCCCTCCATGCTCTGGCCTCAATTCTATATTTCTAGCCTTCACGCTGTGCCCATGACCTAGAATACCCTTCCTTCCTTCATCTTTACATGGCAAACTCCCAAGTTCTTTAAAGCTCATTTCAAATACCACCTCTGTCATGAAGTCTGTTTTGAGACCCTAAACTGAATATGAGCCTTCCTTTGAACCCCTATAGCACTTTATTAACACTTTTATTTCAGTACTTAACAGATTTTGCCTTGTATGATAATAATCTGTGTATTCCAGTGCTTCTCAAACTATCTCATTAGAGTGCACCTAATTAAACAGAAAAATGAACAGGTAGCCCCAAGGCTATCTGTCACAAGAACCTGCCTGAAAAGTTAAAATATAATGTGAAGTTTGCAGTGTTATTAGTATTAGACCAATGCTTGTTTTTAATATAAATATACCACACTTACACTGACTAACACTCCAGGAAGATGTGTCTATTTAATCTTGGGGATTTTAGGGCACACGTGGCTCACTGTGAAAGCACTTCCTCTCCACACTCCAAATAGACTAAACATTCTAAGAGCAGACACTGCATAATATTGTAAAACTAATATAGTACTATCTACAGGCAAACTCTCAAGAAACATTGTTGAACTGTGATTCTGGATAGGTTAACTAGTATTAACTGTATTTATTAGAAGTTTACCACTTACCTAGAACTGTATTCCCTGTTTCAAGGAGCTTAGTCCCCATAGGATGACCCTAAACAAGTATAAAAGTGTACATAGGGGCTGGTCGGTTAGCTCAGTTGGTCAAGAGAGTGGTGCTAACACCAAGGCCCAGGGTTAGATCCCTGTACCGGCCAGCCGCCAAAAACACCAACTGTATATAAGGTTAAATCATGGGTCTTAAGCCATTACTGTTCTACAAGAAGACTTCGGTTGGGACTCGGTCTCTCCATTCCACACACCAAGCGACACATCAGAATACTGTTGAGTGCCACTTTAAAGTCCACTCTGATCTCCAAATTATTTTCTGGAGATCGACAATTTTCTGCTCACACTGCGCAAACCTCAATCCTCTCCACCCTGAAAATAAAAGGTTTACATCCTTTCGCTCTCTTTCGCTCTGCAAAGCCTCGTGGGCGCGGGGCACTGGAGCTGAAGGAAGTCTGAGCACACCAAAGAAGCAGAAATGCCAAAGCAAGCAGCCCGGCTTCTGAGATCCTCTACAGGCTTCCAATTGGTCCTTGAGTCTCACTCTCTTTCCAGGTTGGTGTTCCAGCTTGCCCGTCGCCTCTATGCAGCCCACCTTTAACCAGCAACTATTGGTAGATCGTTACGTCATTATCCCATCTACCCCACTCCCATTGGCTTCCATAGGAAGGGGCGGTCGCAACGTCACAGGCAAGGGCCGCCATTTTGACTGAGCAACCCTAGTGACAGGAGCCGAAGCAGCAGCGCAGGTTGTCCCCGTTTCCCCTCCCCCTTCCCTTATCCGGTTGACTTCCCGGGCCCCCTACACTCCACAGTCCCAGTTCCGCCATGTCCCAGAAACAAGAAGAGGAGAACCCTGCGGAGGAGGCCGGCGAGGAGAAGCAGGTGAAATGGAGGGGGTGCGGGCGGGCGAGCCGGGGGCGACCGTGATGGGGCGGGAGACAGTATCCCAGCAGTGCGGATTGGTCTCCATGGTCTCGGGCTCTGCAGGGGTTGGCTACTTCTTGCGTCACGCAGGGTGAGCTGCAACACGGCCTCCTGCTCTGGCGCTGGTTAGTTAGGCCTGTTGTCACTCAGTACTGTTCCCTTCCTGATTGGCCAATAGGCCTACTACTCCAGCCTGGAAGCTGTGCCATAATTGGCCGGTCTTGGGCGCGGGGCGGGTGTTTGGAAAGACTGATGAATGGAGGGGGCTGGTGGTCCTGGGATGTGATGTTTGTTATTGGTTAGTAGAGGTAAATTACCCAACATCCAGTCTGGGGCCCGCATCCTCAATCCGCAGAGAGATATAGGCCGAGGTAAAGACGTTTAAAAAGTACCAGCACTGGGGAAGGGGAGAGTATTATCATGGCTAGTTTAAAGCGGCAACTTTCTCAGGAGACACATTTTGATAGTTGGGGATGGTCTGTTGTTCACTTCAGTGAGGACCGAACACGATTGAAAAGGACTAGAGTTCAAAACAGAATAATGGAGGTTAGACCTAGAAGAGATACCGACCTCTTCCCCCAGACTTCCAAGGCAGAGGGATTCTGTGATGAAAATACTAACACCGAACAAACCCCTTCTTGGGGGTTATATTTGACTTCTGACATTTAGTGTAGGCTCAAGGACTCATAAAATACACCTGACGTTATATCGCTGCCTGATTTTCAAGGGAAGGAAATGTAATTCCACTAAGAAGAGCCACACATTGATTTCAGGTCCTTTTAAAAAGTCACTAAAGGACATGTGGGACCCCCAAAAGGAAGAAATAACAACAGTGAGAGCCCCTGCAAGCCATTTGCGCTCTTGGCATTTTCCCAAACTCCCATCACTTGTCCCACTAAGGTTGGTATTGATTTTTTTGCTGAAGACTGGTGGGTAAATAACTATTGAACCTACTAAATCTTGATTTTTCCTTGAGGTTAAAAACTGTGTCAATTTCAATCACCTTACTACCGCAATAATTAGGAAAATGTTGAAGCAAGGCTGTGCTATTACTCAGGTGGAGATCTTTGGAGAAGGCCTCATAACTAACCTTCTCCACAGGGAGACTTGCCAGATGGCTGTCTTAGACTCTGAATAAAGAGGGAACATCTCAGCAAACTTATACCCTTTGATTTCCAGTTTGACCTGTAGGACAACCTGGACAACGCTCCTACTCATCTTGTACCCCAGAAGCCCTGCCCGTCTCTTTTTTTCTCTTTGTCTTTCCTAGCATCTGTGCTAAGTGAGCTATGTCCCACTCTGTGATTACAGTATTGTCTTTAGGTATTACTTTTAACCCGATATTCACAAGTCACTGGGGCGATATAGTGTGAGAAGGAGCTTGTCTTTTTCTTCTCACGATACAGTCATCTTGAGCTTTAGAAATTTGAACAAAGGTCTAGCTTTAAGAGCAGAGTAGAGAGAGCATGTTTACAAGTGGGTGTATCTCCAGGAAAAATTGATAGTATAAGGGATATCTGATATTAGAAGATGTTTCTCTGTCTTTAATTTTATTTGGCTCATTTGTTTCCTCCAGGACACACAGGAGAAAGAAGGTATTCTTCCTGAGAGAGCTGAGGAGGCAAAGCTAAAGGCCAAATATCCAAGCCTAGGACAAAAGCCTGGAGGCTCCGACTTCCTCATGAAGAGACTCCAGAAAGGGGTATGGGGCACAATCTCTTGCTTTCTTACTTTGGAGCCGTAGCAGGCTCTACGGATGAAGTCTATAGAGGTTCTACTGGATGGTTTTCTGGAAGTCTTGTTGTTGGGCAGTAATAGAAAGAAATTAGAAACTTGAAAAGAGCAAGGCAAATTATTGTAAATCTGATATGATATCAGTTCCCTTCTGATTTCCCATATGGGAAACTAAGGCTTAATGAAGGGGCCTTTGGGGTTGTGGGGGAATGACAGAAGGATGTCAAATGCTGGAATACAGACTACCCCCAGGCATTTGCCTGTTTGGATGATGGAGTTTTAGGACTGTGCCCTTTTTAAGGATTAGAGATAAACTTTGGGGTGTGTCATTTCAGAAAAGGATCAAACTACCTGTCCTACAGAAATCCTTAATTTGAAATGAAGAGTAGATTTCTTCAGACCCTTGAAGTTAGCACCAGCCATGAACTATACTCCCTCAAAGACTTATTTTTCCTGTGCAGAGTGGTACTCCTCACCAAGGGAGAGTCTACCTCCATAGCCCCCTAGCTCCTGGTTAAGTTTCTCAGTCCCCAGAGGTGCCTAAAGCTGACTGAAGGATTGTAAATCGTTAAACTGGACTGTGCTTCTCTGTGTAGATGAAATGGAGAGTGGAGCAGATCCCTGTAGAGAATCCCAGTTACTGAGTCTTAGTCATGGATGATAATGTGATGCTGATTTGCAGTTTACCTTGCTGTAGGCAAGGCAGGCGTGGGCAGGTTGTCACAGCCATGGAACATGTGTGGGAGTAGTGGGAGTCAGAGGGAAAGTACATTATCCTCATGAACAAGCCCAGTTTCTATTCCTGGTCTGAGAGCATCACATTTAATTTTAATTTGAGGTTGTTTTCTTGAGGTTGATCTCCTGCTGATTACTAGGATAGCCCCAGATTGACCCTTCTTTATATTTTATTCATTTCTGTTTCCCCAGCACCAAGCTATTGCTTTGTACCTAGTAAGGTCCTCAGTAAGCCTTTATAAATAAAGTAATTTTGGTTGAACCAAAATTCTATACTGAGTGGGATACAAAGGATGTAATGGCTATCCCTTGATTCCAAAACTATATATTCTAGAGGGGAAACTGGTTACATACCTGAAAAAGTCACAACACATTGAGGAGAAGGCATAGTACCTGTTAAACTGTGTATGCATGAGGTTAATCAAGAAAGACTTCTTGAAATATCTAAGTGTGGACAAGGCTTCATAATGGATGTGAGATGATAAGTCTCCTTGCATTTGAGAAAGGTCAGAGTTCCTTACTCACCTAAACCTCCCTCTTGTCTCATAGCAAAAGTACTTTGACTCAGGAGACTACAACATGGCCAAAGCCAAGATGAAGAATAAGCAGCTGCCAAGTGCAGGACCAGACAAGAACCTGGTGACTGGTGACCACATCCCCACCCCACAGGATCTGCCCCAGAGAAAGTCCTCACTCGTCACCAGCAAGCTTGCGGGGTAACCTGGGCCCCCCTCTCCTCCCCTTCCTCACCCACTGGACTTTTATATATCGTAGGCAGGGATGGAATGGGCACCTAGTCAGATCTTTTCAGCTTGCTAGCCAGAAATGACTGTGATTCTCCTGGGGGCTGCTGAGAAGGTAATGTGGGTTGAAAGGGGCTCTGAGTTCATTTCTTTGATTGTATTGAGACTTTTACACCTTCACTGTAGCCCAGGTAGGGCCCAGAAATAGGAGAAACTAGGATTGGATAATGCTGCAAACTCTTTTTCTTTTGTGAGAAACTGGGGAGATGTGATTTCCCCTTTTGGAAGAGAATGCCCCCAAATTGGTTAGGCTGAGCCTTAGGAATAATGTGGCAGGTATAACATCCAAAGGCTAATGTGACATAGTTGGGAAAGGTAGGTTGAATAAGATATGTTTTCTGTGCTTCTAAGTGTTTTGTCTCTTAGGCTGCTATTACTTCATGTTTCCACTATGGCAGGTTTAGAGAGTCTTCAAAAGGAAAAACTGATCTGCGTGCCTAAAACCATAATGCCCACTGAACCCCTTTACTTAGTATCTCTTACAGTTTGCCCTGGCTCTCAAATAAAACAAAGATTGAAGAATATTATTCACAGAAAATGGGCACCTTCTCTCTCTCTCTTCCAGCATTTTTCTTTGGAAAGTATCATGAATAGTAGAAAAAGCACTTGTTTAGGAGTCAAGATATCTGGGTTCAAGTTCCACTCAGTCTCGGAAAAACTGATGTGTAACCTTGGTCAAGTCATTTAGCCTCTCTGGATTTGTATTTCCTCATCTGCAAAATAGAGTTAAATATATGTAAGATTGACTCTGATTCTAAAATTCTATAACTGCCAGCAGAAAAACGCTATGATGTTCACTGTAAAACTAAAAACGAGGAAGGCCCATGGGTGAGCCTCTGCTATGTAATACTGGGAAAGTCTTAAAAGGGGAACCATTTGAGGGCTACATGAGAAAAGTTGAGATTTGGGGGTTATAAATTCAGACAACAGAACCTCATTGGTATCATGGTCTTGAGGGTCAAGAAAAAAAATTTTAAGAACCTAGCCATGGAAGCTTCTTGCTTCTGACCTCACCCACATTCCTGGCCTACATTTGGGCCTTAGCTGCTAAAAAATCCTGCTTGGGCAGCAGAGTGTGAGCCTGAGGAAACATGCTCAGTCATGCACATGTAGAAACCCATGTTTCAGATGTAATCAGATGGGCTTATTGTTAGGGAGAGAGGAAGAAAAGGGATAAACTGAACTCGCCCTTAGGGCTTAGTACTACTGCAGGGCTGGAGTAGCAGGTTCGTAGGAGGTGATTCATCTTGGAGAAAGCTGGGGAAAGTGGTTTGGGAAGCAGGGAAGAAAGACAGAAATCTCTACTTTTCCAAAACTCAGTAACCCAGCTCTTGTGAAATGAGGAGAGGTAGCAATGCTGACTCATGAGCAGGTGGAGGAAAGGGGTTGCAGGTGACCAGCATCTTCAGTATAGTTATCACCAGCTTGGCCTGAAATCTCACCAGGTGCAACCTGCTTGTTATGACAAAGAGGACCAGGGTGAGAACTAATGGTTCTAGAGAGCAAGATTCTGTGATCCTTTCTTGCCCTCTTACCTCACAAATTCTGATATGCCAACCACTTGGCCTGATGAGAATAACTGATGAACTTGCTGATGTGCATGTGGGGAATGAGGTGTGTATATACTTCTCTCCTGACTGGTCATTCAGTTTTCAGGCTGTCATTCAGATTTATTAGGAAGAAGTTGGTGAGGAAGGAATGGAGAGAGAAGGATCCCTGTACTCCCTGGCCCCCAAACTCCTTGACTGTCACTTGTAATTGTATATAATTTTTGTGTTTCTTGCTCCATTTCCTCATGCTGTCATCCTTAATCGAAAGTCCTCGTGGGAAGGGGAAAATGCTGAACACCATTGTATAGTTTCCTCAACTGTCCCAGCCATGTTGTACATAGATATGTCATGTTATTATATATATAAATATATATATAATTTTGTATGTTTTCTTCATCTCCGATCTTCTCGAATTCTGTACTTTTTTCTTTTCTGTCTGAGCCTGCCTTCTGTATTGGTCAGTTTGAGTCCTCAAGACTGATGGTCACAGTGAGTCTGGTTTTTAGGAAGGAATAGGGAAGTCAGAAAAACTGATCTCACTCTCTCTTTACCTGGTCATCTTCAAGGCTAAGAAAACAAAGGAACTATATTCTGTATTTACCACCTGTTTCCACAGCATGAAGTAAGGAAGGCTCATTTCAGAATCCAAATGCAAATTACTTTGATTAAACCTAGATTGTTAAATCCACTCAAAACAGCATATGTGTGATCTGACCCCAGCCTCCATGCAGTCACCACCTCATCACTGTACTGCCCCAGTTCCCGCTGCTGCGAGTGGCTGTGGCCATGCCTCTGAAACCGAGCCTGCTCTGAGCCAGGCAGCTTACCCCCGGAAACCTCCAATTATTTTAACCTTGCCTAAAGAATTGCTTTTCTGTGTTTGCTTTCCATGGGTACCTCCAAAAAGGCAAAAAAATTCTGTTTTGTGGATAGGAAAAGACTGAAATTTTCTTTCTTTCTTTTTTTACTTTTTGCATCTCCTTTATGGCTAGGATTGAGGCATATGCCAGTTAGCCTAATATTGTTAAATGTGGAGGAATCATGGGGTGAGACTGGGATGGAATTCAGGGTTTTTTCCCTATTACTTGACAGTGTTTTTTGTTGTTTTGTTTTTTGTTTTTCCCTTCTGTGTTCGTCCACAGTGGCCAAGTTGAATGATGCTGCCCAGGGCTCCACCAGATCCTGAGACGCTGCCCCCCTGGGTCCTGTGCTGGCTCCTGCCCCTCCCTGCTTTTGCAGCCAGGGGTCAGGAAGTGGCTCAGGTGCGGGCTGGAGAGGCAGAAGCCCCTGCCTATTGGTGTCCCAGCGCATGGAGCCCCTTGGGCTGAGCACCAAGACCTTGAACCTTTTTTGTTTTACCTTTTTTCCAAATAATTGTTGCGAGAAATCTCAATGAAATCCTGGGAGTGTGGTGAGAGGGTGGGGTGGAAGATTTGGGGGAATATGAATTTGGGATTGGAATTGATAAAAACATTCCCTACTATCCTTCTTAACTATGTGGCTGGTGTGGGGTGGGTGTGAGAGGGAGGAAGTGGAGTAGACTAAAGATAAGGGGTTCTAATTCAGCTCTGTAGATAAATGCTTTGTTTGGATGTGGCTGGAGACCTTGTGTCAGATAAAAGAAACTCTCAATCTACATATGACCGATGCAAACAGCTCCTCCGGTTCTGCAGAGCAATCTGAGAACTCAATGTTAATTGTTCATTAAGAAAAACTGATATTCCTTGAAATAGATTTGCTATGGGGAGAAAGGCAGTGAGTATGGGGGAGAGGAGCCATGAGTGTGGGGAGCCCCACAGGGCCCAAGGAACATTTTCATTATTTGAAATAAAAAAAAAAAAAAGACCCATGAAAAACCCAACCTAGAAATACTCTGAAGCAGTTGGTGTGTTTTATTGGGGCTTGGGAGGGGGAAGAAAACAATATGGGAGACACCATTCAGGGGAGAAGCCGGTGTGGGGCCCTCAATTTCTAAGGAACATGGGGGCCTTTAATGTGGGGTGTGGCTGGGCTCCCCGCTTCCATCACTTAGGAAGAGGGAGCAGGAATGTTGATAGTACAAACCAGGGCTTTTCCTAACTCCTGTCTATACCTTTGTTTCTGTAGCTAATGCAGATGTTGCATCCACCTCAAGTTGTGGCTCACAAAATGAGGGATTTAAGGTATTTGATTTAAATGGTTTATTGACACCTAAAGCTTAGCCCAGGCTCAGCAAAAAAGGAAGTCCGTTCTTCCTTTCACATTCAATATGCCGTTCCTTCTCAAGTTCCCATGTTTGTGAAGGAGAAATATGATAATAAGCCAAAAGAAACTCAGGCTTTTCTGCTTATAGCCAGCAGGAGGCAGAAGGACTTCTTTCCTCATGATGTCCCACTCTGTGTTGCTGGAATCCTGCCACTGAATTAAAAGCTGCTTTTGAACGTAATCTAGAAAAGAAATGTTACCGAAGCAGAAACAAACACACCAATCTCCCCCACAACCCCACCAAAATGTGGTACATTGAAATGCCTGCTCATTTTGCCCAACTTGGATTAGGAGAGTTGATCACGGTATTTTCCCAAATATGATTGGCTTCTCAAATGAGTATGCTTTAAAGTCCAGGAGACACAAATATTCCAAAGAAATCCCCACTGTACTGGGTGGGGAGGGGATACCTTCTGAACTGGACAAGGAATGTTATTCTCAGTACCTGACTCATTCTTTTTCTCTCTTTAATTAGAAGCTTTCCAAATAAACTTTCAGCTTCTCAGAATGTTATTGGCTTGCTCTCCCCTAATGTAGCCAGGAGATTGTGATGCATCCTAACCTTCCTTTCTGAACAGCATGCTAGACATTGAGTGAGCTGGGTGGTATGTGGATATATTAAAGGCAGGCATTCTCTACCTTTGTGGAGTTTATTGTCTAGCTGGAAGAAAATAATATGTGAAAAAGGTCAATACCTCCACAGGTATAAACTCAAACCTTAAAGCTATATACTCTGGGGAAACAAATTAATGAAGTGTTTATTGTGGTGGGGTTAGTGAGCTTTCTCATCCTTATTTACCTTGAGCCAATCCCATGACTTCTTTCTGAGCATTTTAGCCTTTTTTATGTTTGACAGGTGGATACAGCTGGGGAATGAGGTGAGGCTGAATGTCAGTGCAATTTCATTTTTTTTTTTTTTTTTTTTTTTTTTTTTTTTC